TACTCCCCACTTAGTCTTCCATCACTTGAAGAATTGCATATAAATGAATGTAGTGAGGTAGTATTGAGGAGTATGGTCAATCTCACCTCCCTCAAAACATTGAGTATAAAAAAATTTTCTAAACTGACTTGCCTACCCAAGAGTTTTGTTGAGTCCATGATATCTCTCAAGGATATAGAGATTGTGTCTTGCACTGAACTTACTTGTTTGTGGGAAGAGGGAGTCAATATCCTAAACCTTGCATGTGTTGAGAAGATAGAAGTCAAGGAGTGTGAAGCACTAGATTCCTTGCCTGGTGAGATAATGATGTTGTTGCGACTTGAAGAATTATCTATTGGTCAATGTCCCGCTTTCCGAATGTTTCCAAGAGGCAAGTTACCCACCACGCTTAAAGTCTTGAAAATTTGGGAATGTGAAAAGCTAGAGTCTCTACCAGAAGGAATATTGATGAATAATGGTCATGCATATCAATCGTCACAACTTGAAGAATTAGAGATTGCCAGCTGTCCTTGTCTGAAATCTTTTCCTAGTGGTCAGTTACCCAATTCTTTTAAAAGGCTTTGTATCAATAATTGCAAGCAGTTGGAGTCTCCACCTCAAAGGATGCTGCAGTATTGTACGGAACTTAAACGGATAAGTATTTATGGGGGTGATATGAAAAGTTTATGTTTTGAGGACATGCATGGGCCCACTTCTTTATGGATAGGCAATTGTGATGGTTTGGAGTCGTTTTCCCTGTCCACCTCCAATCTTAAAGATTTATTCATATCAGATTGCAGGAATCTCAAGTCTTTGCCTAACAAGATGCACGACCTCACATCTCTCAATGGATTATATATAAGCAATTGTCCAGGGATCAAGTGCATTTCAGACAGTGGTTTGCCTCCAAACTTAACATGGCTTCAAATTTATGAGTGTATAGGGATCAAGTCCATTCCAGGCGGTGGTTTGTTTCCAAACCTAACAGATCTTCAAATTTTCGACTGTCAAGGGATTGAGTCCATTCCAGACCGTGGTTTTCCCCCAAACCTTAGAAGTCTTACAATTGATTGCAAGAATCTGAAGAAGCCGATGCAGGAATGGGGCCTTAGCAGAATCACCTCTCTTTTATCCTTGGAGATTTATTGGATATGTCCTGATCTTGATGTGCTTCCCACTTCTCTAACCAGACTTGTGGTAGGTAAGGTTGAAAATATGAAATCCATAGCTAGAGGGCTCCTTCAAAACCTCAACTCTCTTCAAGATTTAACAATCAAGGAGTGCCCAAAGCTGCAGTCGTTGCCAAAGGAAGGCTTGCCTCCCTCACTTCAAGATTTATACATTGAGAATTGCCCCAACTTGCAATCCTTGCCAAAGGAAGGCTTGCCTTCCTTGCTTGAACTAATCTGGATTGAAAACTGCCCGTTGTTGAAACGACGATGCATGGAGGAGAACGGAGACTATTGGCCCCTCATAGCACGCATCCCCTGCATTGTAGTTCGGGTACTACTTAACTATTCTCAAATTTTCAGATAAATTTTTGTCTTTTGAGAATTCATTTAGGAATATATTTTCCCTTACCATATCTTGGAACTTAATCTCTTCTAACTTAATCTTATTCTTTCTTTTTAGGATGATGAAAGCCACACAAGTTCAGAGACAAAACAAAAACTTTGTTTATGGTAATACTTACAAAAATACTCCATCATAATCATTCACGGTTCTTTTTTTTTTTTTTTTCTGTAATTGAATTTTTTTTCACCCTCTTGTGAGAAACTTGGAAAATGGCTAATCTAATTAATCTCTTCTTCTATTTTAGCTTCAAAACAGGATAACAGTCAAATGAATTCAAATCTAAATAAAAGGTAATATTGGTTTTAGTGTTGTCTTTTCTTTTTTATACTTTTTGTTAATGCCATAAGTTCCTCATATGTATTGGTTCAGGATATGGATATTAAATCACAGAGAAATGGCTAATGACAAATCATAACTGAAAGGTTATGTAGTAATCAAGAAAACTACTAAGGATTATTCTTCATTTTGCAGCCCAAAGCATAAGATGGAGGAGATCTTTGTATTTCTGAAGCTTAACATTTATGTCAATTGAAAAGATGTTGGTTTTTTGGAGAATGGAAAGTTGCCATCCATGTATTCTGTGAAGACTTGTTGACTGCTTAATATATAAATAGTTGCTTAGTATAAGAGTCAACAACATGTCAACCCTTTCAATTCATCTTTTGCTGTAAGTTTTAATCCCTATGAGGATCGTTTCATTGGATTTAATATTAATGTTTTAATATTAAACCCTTCAGCACGTTAACACAATCCAACCATGCCTTGTGAAGATGAGGGATGGTAATTGAAAGAGAAATCCATGCAAATTCTAAGTAAGTTTAATGCTTAAATCCACCCTATTTGATGAGTTGGTTTATTTCAGATCTGATCACGGATCACTTGAACTGTATTCCAAACATTTCTTTTTTGCCAATGCCTCTATTTTCCTAGAACAATTAATGTCACATATCCTGGACCCTTGATGCTAGTTTCAATATTGGTTGGTGCTATTTTGACATTAGAAGAATCACTTTACCTTTTAGGTGTTGGTTAAATGAAAATGGTTATATGCTTTATGCAGTGCTCTTATCTTGATTTGAAGAAGAGGCATCATAGAAGAAGGGTTATGCTGAAGCCTTTAGTAGATTTGATTATGAAAAGGTTGGTGCCTGCATGAAAGGTATGTTCTGAGATATGATTAATTTTTGGAAGTTGGAATCCTTTTCCTAGCTTCAAGTACCTTGTTTCTTTTTTCTTTCTTTCTATTCTCAATAAATTGGAGGCAAAAGGCAAGACATTCTAAGGGGATTTTTCTACAATCTAGAAGAGGAAAAAGTTATAATCTGTGGAGATATTGCTAAGCTTGTGGCAGAGTTGTACTTGAAATGCAAATAACAAAATCAATACAAATCAGTCTTGTAGACACATTGTATGATTTCTCTCTTTACATTTTTGGGAACTTGTTTTTTGTTGTTTAGGCTAAGAATCGATATGAAAATATAGACATCTGACAAGCTTGTAATCTTATTCTTTCTGGCTCAGAGCATGCTCTTCTGCAAAAGTTTCTTCTTGCTGGAAGGAAGACTTATTGTGCATTTCAAAATTGTAAGTTTCTTTCTGCAAGGCTGAGTTAGTTAACAAATGGTAATGGTGATTTTAAGACATTAGATATGTTAATTGAACTTATGTTTATTATCAAAAAATAGGTTTCATTTTTCCTGCAAATAGATTCCTTTTTTATAAGTAGTTTAATCCTCCTTTCAATGGAAATGAAATTATAAAGTTGCTACACCAGGCATTTTAAGAAAGCTCTTTTGTAACAAATTTTATTAATTTAATATTGAGGTATTTTAAAATTTTATTGTTTTCCCATTTGACTCTCATCTATATGGTAAATTACTTACCAAAACATTAAAAAAAAAAATCTGTAGTAAATTCTTGCAAAATCTTGCATATATATTTATTTTTTCTTTCTTTCCATTTTGAAGAAATTGGAAGGGCATATAGAACAGCACATTCGAATGGGATTTTTCTTGAAACTGGAAGTGGAAAGGTTATAGTCTACGGTGATATTGCCAAGCTTGTAACTAGATTGTGCTTCAAATGCAAATAACAAAAATAATATAGTTTAGTCCTCTAGATACCTTGTAAGTTTTCTCTCTTTGCATTTTTTTAAGAAATTGTTTTTCCTTTGTCAAGCTATTGTTGAGATAAAGACAATGACAATTGACAAGCTTGTGACCTGATTTTGTCAAGCTCAAGCATGCCCTTCTACAAGAGTTTCTAATTTGAATTGCAAGTGTTTATCAACTTGGCTGAGTCAAGAAAAAGGTAATAATGATATCAGTGGTTGCTTTTTTTCCACACAATGTTTGTTCAGGATATCAGATATGTCAGCTGAAATGCTATTCTTATCAAGTAATGATTCATTTTTTCTTGTAGAGTATTTGAGGGGTACCTTTTGTTAAGAAGCTTGAGCCTCCTTCAAATGAAAAAAGTTTGATTGCTGCAGATTAGAAAGTTGCTATCTCAGGTTCCCAACACTTTGAGATTTGACCAGCGCGTCCTATGTACTAAATTTTCGTCTTGGAGAGAGTAACTCAATTTTCTCCTACATTGTGACCTTGTGACCTCTGCTTTTATGCTTTGAAAGAGACAAAGATTAGTTGATCTGCCATTTCATTTTTGTATTCCAAGTTTGGCAATGGCACAAATTGTATTTAAGTTCACAAGTTTCTACTTTGTGGGTCGATATAAGATTTCTCACTTAACAATAAGGAAGCACAACATTGGGCGAAAAGCTTATTTGTGTCCTATCAGAATAATTTATTTTAGTTGGAACTTGAAGATTTTGGCATTTTAAAGCAGTATTTAATTGGAATTTGAGCTTGATGGTGACTTTTTTTATTTGGTTTAAATTTTCTGTGAATGTATGTTTACTTATTTCATTATCTGAATTGGATAGATCATGATGATAACTTTATTTTGTTCTGTCTATGCTTATCATTATGCTGTTTTTTATTGTTTTAATGCATATTTAAAAAGAAGAAAGAATAACAGCAGTACGATCAACAACAAATGCAGAAGAATAGATTTGTATCTTGAGTTATGGCAGCAAAATTAGCAAAATCATACTTGTTTGGGCAGCTTCGTAGTCCAACACGGTTGAAATCTTCAGCTGCTACTACACCTGAAAATCCCGAGGATGTTTCCTCGAGAAAACACTCCGACGTTCAAATCAGCAATACTCGATATTCTAGAGAGAGATGCTCTCAAAGAGTAATTGCAAAGAGAGAAGCGTAGAGATTCATTACCTTCATTGATGGTAGTTGGGGGGTATTTATAGCCCCAAATGCTGACATGCATCAGTACATGTAAGCACCTCATTGGCCCACGTGGCGCTGCCCACGTGAGTATGTCCCCTCCTCTTGGGCCTGTGGGTGTATAGTTGGGCCTGCTACATGTGGCCCGAAGTGGGTTTGGGCCTAATCCCAACATTACTCCCCCCTCAGTGTTTGGTTGACGAACTGGGTTGAGAGTCTTGTTAGCACGGTGTTTGACCCTGAGGATGAGGAGTGATGTTTTGTGTTCATGACCAACCTCATGCACGGCCGATCTGAGCAGCTTGAAACCAAGGTGGTCGAGTCTGATGTGTACGTATATGCCGACCTCCTACAGAGCAGGCGTGAGTAAGCTGGCGTTCAGGGAAGGCGAGCTCGACGCTAATCAGCGAGCTGAGCAGGCGCGCAAGGGCGACCTTGCCTGATGGATTCTCTGTAGTAGAGTGATGGCTAGCATATAATGAACGAGTTGAACCAACAGACCCATACGGGCTGAAATGGGCGAGCTTACTCATCACTGTAATATAGATATGTGGGATATAGAACGAATCTGAGGAAGTTAGTTACGATCTGACGCTTGATGTTCGAGACTGCGGTGAATCTCTGATTTGTTACGACCTGATCTCTATAGACTTTCGAGTTTGAAATCTCTGAAGAGATCATCGATTAGTGACGAGCAGATCTCTCGAAATTTTCAAATTTTGAATTAGGGGCAGATCTCTGAGGAGATCTCGGATTTGTTACAAGCTGGTCCTTGTCACTTTTTAAAATTTAAATCTGTGAAATCTCTAAAGAGATATGGTTCATTGGATTTGTTACGAGCTGGTCCTTGTCACTTTTTGAAATTTAAATCTGTGAAATCTCTAAAGAGATATGGTTCAGAGCGGTTAGTATTCTCCATCCCCCCCTAATAAATGCTGGCTCAGCGTTTGAAGAAATGTGACAGCTAAAGCCGGTGGACATTACATGCCAAGCAATAAGTACCTGCCACGCGTAACATTTTGATTGGTTACCAGAGAGGCGTGTATGGTAATGATGGGCACGGTCGCTTAACCCCTCTGTCACCTCTATCCTTGCTTTGGCATTCCATTTCCATATTCTCTGCATTCCTCTGCGACAAAGGACTTCCAAAATTTTCAGGCGACATTTTCAGTTTTTCAGAGTCAAATTTTCAAGTAATAACAAATGGAATTTGTTAGAGAAGTAGGAGAACTCTAGGGTAACCAGGGCACGGAAGGGGAAGAGAGCGTGATATCTGTAGAACCTATTACTATGATTATACCACCGAAACTGCAAGATTTGTCGGAAACCCTTACACCCGAGAGCAGCGCCGTTCAAGCGCGGGTGAGGGTTCCGGTGTTAACCCTCCTCCGTCGTCTGAAGGGTCATCATCAGAAAATACTCCCAGCGTCGGAGAAGATGTAGTGGAGGGTGTAGGTATCCCCTCGCCAGAAAGTATGGAGGTGGCCGTGGAAGTGCCCGTGGTTGCAGGTTGGGAGAATAAAACCATAGGTGGCAGGCTGAGTAACCTTCGCAAAGCGCCACACGCATTGACGGCCGGATTTAGGCTTAGGGCCAACCTACATCATGAGGTAGCAGATTGTGCCACCTCCATTAAAGGGTACAAAAGACTGGAGGTGAGATAGTACCACGTTCCTAAGACGGTTTTGTTACGAACTGGCACCAAGAATGAAAGGGCCTGCAGTGTGTCAGCAACAGGGTGGATACCCGTATATGTGGACCACTTTGATGCCGCCCTGAGATTTCCATTGCCCGAGCTGATTTTTGACATTCTGTCAGAGTACGAGCTGGCATTGACACAGTTGAGCCCCAACAGCATAAAATTTATCATAGGGTTTATGCTGTTGTGTGCGAGGTTGGAGATACCTGCAAAGGCAATCGTGTTCAGATCGCTATTCCTATGCCGACTGAGTACTATACAAACGAGGTGGTACTACATCTTTGGGCGCGAAAAAATGGCGATCTTTAAGAACGTGAGGAATAAGGTGTCTCACTGGAAGAGGCAATTTATTTTTGTCCGCGATACACGAACAGAGAGGGTCAGCAACGACCTGGAAGCTCACCTTTCTGAGTGGCGCTCAGGGCACGCGTATATGAACTATCCCACACTAACCCCAAGCGACCTGGAGCTTAAGGACAGGATAACTAACTATGTGAAGGGAGAGGGGTTAGTTGATTTGGAAGCCTTGGTTACCCCCAAGCTGCTTGCTTTGCGTGGGTTTGTGGATGTCACAAACCTGTTTAGTGAAGGTATAACTCTATTATGAATTACTGTTTTTCACGAGCTGAGTCTTATTGCATGTGTTTGTGCAGGAGAGATGAGTAGGATGCTCGAGAGGCAACGCGAATGAGCTCAGCGCTCACGAGGTAGGGGGATTGGGTCCAGCACTAGGAGGCAAACACGCTTTGACAAGCTACCCCCTACAGCACCTCGCAGCTCGTCACAGAGGGAGCAAGGCTCCAACTCGGCCAACTCGGCCAACTCGGCCTCACGGCCACAGGCCGAGCGCAGAGTAGAAACCGTCCCTATTGAGACCCGGAGGCGCGCTTGCGAAGACTTCAATGTCGAAGATAATGTACCACTAATTCGACGCAGATTGAATACTGGGAGTCAACCCGGAGCGATGCGCCCACCTGAGGCGCCTGTGGTCTAGACGCGCAGCACAGCTGAGGCGCTTGCCCCACCAACAACTAGTGGGGCCCCCAGAATCGCATACCCTGAGGGCTTTAGCTACACTAAGCCTGACTGTCAGCTTGTTATGGTCCAGGGTATGCAAAGCTTTGTCCCACCTGTGGACCGTCAGCGCGCCAAAGGTTATATTCAGCAGCATGGGAGCCACGCTGCAATGTTGAAGATGATGGATGTGAGTATTTTGCTAGATGAACGTGTTTTTTGCTGTAATTTTGGGATAAAAACTGACTATATAAGTGTTGTTACAGGCGCTAAGCTACTTTGTAGCTTTATTTGAGAGCGAGCAGGCAGCTCCTGTACAAAATCAAGAGCTAGCTGACAGCTGCAAGCGGTTGACCTCAGATAAAGCGAGCTTGGAGGACGAGGTGAACCGCTCGTAGAGCTTAGAGATGGCCAACAGAGCTGCATCAATAGAAAGCCGAGCTGACGAGCTGGCCAACAAGGTCAACCAGCTGTAGGAGGAGCTGTACAAGGTGAAGGCTAAGAAAGAGACTGGGATTCAGGCAGCCATGGATGAGGTTGTTCGCACTGTAGATCGCACAAAGAAGGCGGAAGCTGAAAGGGACAGCGCCCTGAACGACCTCACTGCCCTAAAGAGACAGGTAGCAGTGGCCGATCAGGACCTTGCTCGCGTAGAGGAGGGGCTGAGGAGGGCCAAGACCCAACACCAGTGTTGTATTAGTATCGCACGAGCTCAAGGCGCAGAGTGGCTGGTGGGTGCTGACATGTTCCAGGATGCCATGGCTGTGGCTTCCATGAACACCACGACTGAGATTTACAATGACGTTCATGGTAAAGTGTTAAAGCACCGACCAGACTTCCCGATCAACAAGCTGGCGTTCTTTGAAGGTGAAGATCTTGATGTGGAGGGGAAGAGCCTTGCCGCCCCTGCCGACACGATAGTGCGGCTCCGTTGGGAGCTAAACGAAGAAGGAGTGCCTATATGGCCTCCATCTGTTTTAGAGGAAGGAGAAGAGTTCGAGAACCTGCCTAGGTTCGACTCCTAGGTAGGTGACACTCCTGCAGAAGAAGCTAAACCCTCAAGCACTCCCCCCGCACCTCAGCCCGTCCTTGCTGCCATCTCCATCCCAGCTCGTGTTGGCGCATCTGCACCCGTTGACTTAACAGATGACTAGATTTAGGATTTTTATGTTTCGTTTGCTTTTGTAGTTTTAGTATTTCCTTGTTCAATATACGTTTTGTACCTATGTTGACATTTCATGTAATTGATTTACAAGGAATATAATCTAAACGTTTTTTTGGAAAACTGTGTGTATTATTTGCATTGTACTCGTACATCATTCCAATAACAATACAAATCAATTGTAATATTTTCTAAGGTTCTGAACATTCCATGTAAATGGTAATTGGTGCTTGTTCATATCTGCTAATATATAAGATCCAGGTCGGTTAATTTGAACAACCATATACGGACCTTCCCCAATTAGGAGCGAGCTTGCCCATGTGTGAATAAGCATTGGTTAACCCAACTTTGCGTAAAACCAGATCGCCAACCTGAAATTGACGAGCTCGAACTCTCTTATTGTAAAATTTTGCAATACGACCCTGATATTCCATGTTTTTTATTTGAGACATCTCCCTAACCTCTTCCACAAGGTCCAGATTCTCTCTTAAGAGTTGTTCATTGTGAGAATCCTTATGCCGACCTGTTCTATCCGACAACAATCCGACCTCTACGGGGATGATGGCCTCAGCTCCATAGGCAAGGCTGAATAGGGTTTCGCCTGTGGACGAGCTGGGTGTAGTGCGACATGACCAAAGCACTTTATTGAGCTCGTCAACCCAATTAGAATGTGCAGCTGAAACATGCGTCTTTAGGCCTCGTAAGACGATTTTATTCGCGGACTCAACTTGTCCATTTGACTGTGGAGTATACACAGATGTCAAGGCGAGCTCAATGCCATAATCGTCACAGAATGACCTTAGTGCCGTAGCTCGAAACTGTGGACCATTGTCAACGATGATCCGTTTGGGTATGCCAAACCTGTACACAGATGACTGAGCTGAACCACAGATTATACTTGTATATAACATACCAATGGCTTAAGCCAACAAAGAATACCTGCATAATATTGAATTGAGCAAGAATTCTTCTATTTTCTTCTCTGTTGTCGTGGACAATGGTTTAGCTTCTATCCATTTGGTGAAGTAATCCACTGCAACGACGAGGTAAGTGCACCCTCCTTTGCCTTTCACAAAAGGGCCGAGCAGGTCGACTCCCCATTGAGCAAAAGGCTAGGGAGAAGAGAGTGATTAGAGCATTTCTCCTGTTTCAACGAAGATATTTGGGCTCAAGTTATAGACAAACATTAAGTTTGCGCGAGCTTTAAAACGAGCTCAAGTACCTGGCATGTGAATATCACCAGCATTGAACTGGCAAGTCGGGCACTTTTTGACGTAGCTCTGTGCGTCCTCAACCATAGTAGGCTAGTAATAGCCATGCCTCAGGAGTTTCCATGCTAAAGTTCTACCACCTATGTGTGTGCCACATACTCCTTCATGGACTTCGCTCACCGCATATTCAGCTTTATAGGGAGTAAGGCAATGTAATAGGGGTATTGAGGCTACTCGTTTATAGAGCTGATTATCTAACAAAGTGAAATGTGCTGCCCTACATTTAATCAACTTTGCAGTGGACAGATCTTCAGGCAGTTCACTAGTTCGCAGATACTCTATGAGCGGGGTAGTCCAGCTCGATGAAGAGGGATCTGTGCTTAACAGCTGACACTCGACTGTGAAATCAGTGTAGCTCGAGGCATCGAGCACTTCGACAATTGTTGATCTCTGAGGGTTAAGGTCTTGCGAGGAGGCCAACTTTGACAGCTCGTCAGCTCGGTGGTTATCTGCTCTTGGTATTTTGTCGATTTGGAAAAAGACAAATCCCGACTTCAATCTGTTGACCACAGAAGCATAACGACCAAGCTGGGGATCCTTGATTTCACAACTGCCATTCACCTGACCCACAACGAGCTGAGAGTCACTGAAAACTTGATTGCTCTGTACCTTCAGCTCGGACACCAACTTCAATCCATAAATGAGGGCTTCATATTCTGCAGCATTGTTAGTTGTCTGAAACTTAAACCTCAATGCATGCTCGGATTTAAAGCCATCTAGGCCCACTAATACAGCCCCAGCACCCGATCCTTCAATGTTAGCAGCTCCATCAACATACAAGACCCAGACTGGGTGCTCGGGTGTCTTTTCTTCCACCGTGGCCGAGATGCACTCCACAAGGAAGTTTGCCACAGCCTAGCCCTTTATAGTTGTCCGCGGCCGAAACTTGAAGTCATACTCACTAAGCTCGACGCTCCACCCGATAAGTGACCAGAGAGTTCCGGCTTCTGCAGAATCTTTCTCAACGACAAATCGGTGTAAACAACAATCTGATGTGACTAGAAGTAAGCTCTCAATTTTCGAGCCGTGTATACCAGGGCAAAAGCAGCCTTTTTTGCTAATGGGTAGTTCTGCTTGGCGTCTTGTAAAACCTTACTTACATAGCAGACAGGCTTCTGATTCTTATTCTCTTCCCTGAGTAGGACCGAGCTCACCGCCTCCATTGTAACCCCTAGATACAAGCATAAACTCTCCCCCTCCACAGGCTTGGATAGCAAAGGTGCTGATGCTAGATATTGTTTGAGCTCGTCAAACGCCTGTTGACATTCATCTGTCCACTGAAAGTTTTTGGGCTCTTTTAGGGCTTTAAAGAATGGGAGGCACCTTTCTGCCGATCTGGCTATGAACCTGTGCAACGCGGCTACACGACCTATCAGGTGCTGCACATCCTTTATGGTCTTGGGAGGCTCCATCTGCTGAACGGCTTGGACCTTCTCTGGGTTTACCTCAATTCCTTTCTTGGATACCACGTACCCTAGGAATTTTCCTGATTCTACAGCGAAAGTGCATTTCAGGGGATTCAGCTTCATTTGGGCTCGACGCAAATTCTGAAAAGTCTCAGCCAGGTCATCTATATGATCCTCAGCTCGCACACTTGTGACTATCATATCATCTACATATACTTCTATGTTCCTGCCGATTTGGAGCTTAAAGATGATTTGTACCAACTTTTGATAAGTTGCACCAGCGTTTTTCAGGCCGAACGGCATCATGACATAGCAGTAGATTGCGTCCCTAGCATAAAAGGCTGTTTTCTCCTGGTCGACAACAGCAACTGAACCTGGTGGTAACCTGAGCTAGCATCAAGGAAACTCATCCGCTCGTGTCCAACCGTCGCTCTACTAGCTTCTCCACATTTGGTAGGGGATGAGGGTCTTTTGGACACGCCTCATTTAGGTTGGTGAAGTCAATACACATCCTCCACTTGCCATTTGGTTTTTTGACGAGCACAGGGTTGGACACCCACTCAGAATATTCCACCCTCCTGATGAAGTCTGCCTGCAACAATTTTTGTATCTCTTCATCTATAGCCGCTTGCTTATCTAGGCCAAAAAGGTGACATTTCTGAACCACCGGCCATTTGGTGGGGTCCGTGCTGAGTTTGTGGACTATCAACTTTGCTGGAATGCCAGGCATTTCATCTGTAGTCCACGCAAACACATCTTGATTAGCCCTCAGAAACTCCAGAAGCTCTACCCGCTCTTTTTCTGTGAGCTTGGTGCCGATCTTAACTGTTCTTTCCGGCACATCGGGGTTTAAAGGAGCTGTCTCCACTAGCTCTACCGGCTCTGCTTTCTGCTCGACACCCTCAGGTCGGTGCTCCATGTCTGATATACTCATTGTCTGTTGATCGAGCTGGGCCGGCCTGTGAATTTCAGAACCTGCTAGGGCTGCAGCGAGGTCAACCTTCTTAAACGTATCTTGATAGCAGGCTCTGGCAATCTTCTGGTTCCCCTTAAGTACTCCTACTCCCTGAGGAGTTGGGAATTTCATACAGAGATGGGGTTGAGAGATAACAGCCTTCAGCTCGCACAGGGTGGCTCTTCCTAATATAGCATTGAAAGCTGATTCCATCTTGACGACCAGGAAGGTGACAGAAGCCATCTTGAAGTGTGGTTCCGAGCCCACATAGATGGGTAGAGTAATGACTCCTTCAATTGGGACGGGTTGATTATTGAACCCATAGATGTGCCCTTTATACTTTTGTAGCAAGCTCGGATTCAGCTGCATCTTCTGAAAGTAGCTCCAATAAAGGATATCGGGTGAGCTACCAGTATCAATGAAGACCTTGTTGACGTTATGATTGCCTATATGAACCGTTGCCACGAAAGGATCTGCATGAGGCATCATAATGTCGGGCTCGCCGTCTGTTCGTTTATAATCTGCCGGGCTAAATGTGATGGACGCATTCTCCCACTCCGCCTCCTCGAATGGCCGCTTCAAAGGTCTATTCCTGTCAACGGTCATCACCTGCCGGGCATACGCCTTACGGCCTCGAGCGCTTTGGCCTCCAGAATGCATACCACCCGAGATCATGTTTATTGTGCCTGAGGGCGGGGGTATCCCAGCATAGCCTACCCCTTTCCTATCTTTTTGGTTCTGGGTGGCAGTTCTCTGCCCTTGGCCTCGCCTATTGAACTGGTGGCCTCTGTCCGCTCTGCCTTGCTCAGATGGATATTGATTATCATGGTATACGTCCTGTGTGTTGCCGAGCTGGTACCTCTACCCCTGAGGTCAGTCATACCCCTGCACAAAGTGAGTTTGAGCTGGTTGTTGGGTATGAGGCTTCTGGACATATCCTTCTAGTTTCCCATTGCGAGCTAAGAACTCCAGCTTGTCCTTTAAGTGTTGGCAATCTTCTATATTGTGACCGTATACACGATGATAGTCACAATGCTTGTTATTGTCTGCTCTCGGGGAATCATGCAATGGGGGTGGAGGTCTTTTAATCCAGTGCTGGATTTGTGCCAGAATTTGAGACATTGGCAAGGTTAGAGGGATGTAGTTAGCATATTTCAGGAATTCAACTGGCTTCCCCCATTGCTCATTGACTTTCTGGTTTTTCTTTTCCTCTCTTCTTGGTAGCTGTTCATTGCCTTTGCTCTATTTGTCATCAACTCGTCGCTTTGACAACTGGAAGTCTTCTGACAGTATGAAGCTAGCTGACCTGTCATTGACTTCGTTCCACGTCTTTGGTGGGTTTTCCAGTAGGTCATCTAGGAACCGGCCACGTTTCAGACCATGTAGCAAGGCAGACAAGCAGATGGTATCGGGGACATTATCAATGTCTAAGGTGGCTTTGTTGAATCGCTGCATGTAGTCCCTCAGAGATTCCCCTTCCTTCTGATGAACTTGCATCAACTCGGTCGCTGTGTGTTTGATCTCCCTCTAGCTTGCAAATTTGTTGGAGAATAGCTTGGCGAGCTGGGAGTACGAGTCTATAGAATGACTGGGGAGTTTGTGATACCATCTTCTGGCTGTTGACTTCAGTGTCGCAGGAAACACTTTGCACATCATGGCATCATTGGCATTTTGGATTCTCAGGATGGCTTGATAGGTGTGCAGATGCTCATCTGGATTGCCCGAGCCATCATATGTCTCCAGGTGGGGAATTTTGAATCCCTCTTGATATGGTCTTGCTGTGATGGATAGGTTTAGTGGAGCACTATCCAAATCAAGGGTCTGTTGGTGCGACCTGGGACTTTTCAGCTCGTCAATGGATTTTTGTACATCCCGCAACTGCCTTTCAAGGTTTGCGTTCTTTCTCATCAGTTCTTCACTATGTTTGGACGAGCTGGGCTCATTATTTAGCTTTCCACTTCCTCTCGGTTTGGTCGGCACTACTATATTGCTCAACGCGGGTGAGTTTCGAGTTGCAACAACCGCAGCTGTCTGTGCATCCACTACTGCAGGAATGGGATTTCCGAACCGAAATATTGGTCCGGATATATAGGAAATCGGTCTGAATATATATAT